TCTGGACGACAGAGTGAGACTCCAACTCAAAAAAAAAAAAAAAAAAAAATGGAGATGAGCATTGCAGCAGTTTTTGAAGTTGCTATTGATGGCTGTGGACCAGGACCCAAATGGCTAATTTGTGCTCCATTCCTTGTTGTAAAAATAAATGTCATGGAAAGAGAAGAGGGGATTGGGGATGGAAAAGAATTATGCAAGAACATATGAGAGCTGCTAGTTTAACAGGAACAGATGTGAAAGTTTTTTTTTTCTTTTTTCTTTCATAATAGCAAATTATTAGACTCTGGTTGATATTGTACCTAATTGGTATGGATTTGAGAATTTAAATTATGCCTGTCATTCTTAGGATGCCCCTTTGGGGCAAAAAACATAGGTAGAATGATCCCAAGTAGCAGGGGCAGTAAGAATAAGTCTCAAAGGAAATGAGTTTGGGTCTTTTGGGTCCCTTGATTTTTGTTTTGTTGATTCCCATAAGTTAAATGGATGCATATTTCAGAACTCACTATGTGAAGTCAAGGATTACAAATTTTACAGATCTTTTAAAAAATCTCTGTTGCACTCATAAAACCATGTGTGGAGTTTGGCAGTGTATAATAAAGGTGAATTAGATGGGGGAAATTTGTCTTTCTAGAAAATTTCATTACAGTCTGGGCAGGAAAAAGGTTAAGATATATGGTTAAATACTGTGGGCTTTGATTTGAGCCCATAATAGCCACTCAGTACATATTTGTCAAATTGCATAGCCATTTGGATAAATTAAATTGTGAAGTCTTAACTTGTTATATCAGTTTTATAGAATTTTTCAAGCATTTATTAACCATATGCTCACTCAAATGGTCTTTATATTTGCAACTTATATGGCCACATTAAAGAGTCTTTTAAAATGTGAAGGAAAAAAATAAATTCTCTGAATGATTAGATGAATTAGGTTTTAGTATGTATATAGCACCACGCTAAGCTCTTAAAGTACAAACTAACGTATACACACACACACACACACACACACACACACACACACACACACACACACACACACACACACACACACACTTTCCCAGACAGAATGTGAGTCATGGGAACCAAAGTAAGGTCTGTGGTAATGTTGGACAGGGGGCATGTCAGTTTCAAGTCAGTCTCTTCATTAGGTCACATCTCTTGTACTCTGAAGTAGCTATGTTATATATATGACTACATCAGTCCCTAAGCTCCTGGCCTGAATGAGAAACTCTGAAATAATGTTTTACTTTTTTGCATTAAATGTTCAGTGTTTTAATGTTTGTTTGACCTGCAGCACTTTGAAGCCTAAAGGATGAACCTTGACATTTTTAGAAATTTTAAATTAAAACTAAGCTTGGCATACAATTCTGCACCCCCCCCCCAAAAAAAACTGACGTGAATATAGGCGATATGTATTAAAAAAGCAAATGAGTCAATACTTAACGACATTAGTATGAAAGCACAAGTCAATTCTCAACATCCAGTTTCTTCTTGTTCTTATTCTCATTTTGTTAGCAATATCATAAAAATCCTGTATAGGAGCCGGGCTCGGTGGCTCAGCCTGTAATCCCACACCTTTGGGAGGCTGAGGTGAGTGGATTGCCTGAGCCTGCGGGTTCGAGACCCGCCTGGGCGGGCGAGACCTCATCTCTACAATAAATCAAGAAATTAGCCGGGTGTGGTAGCGTGCGCCTGTAATTCCGGCTACTTGGAAGGCTGG